AAAGGTGCAGATATTAAAATGACGTCATCCTGTCTCTAGTGGCTGATGATAATGTAACCAAGTGGAACTGATGGGGTGAAACTATTGGGTCCGCCGGACCGGTAATGGGGTGCACCGGCCCTGATTAGCTGAAAAGATGCACCTGCTGGCAAATCGCGTTCTTTGTCTTTCTCTCCGCCGCCGCGAGCGGGTGTGCTGAGTCTGCTCTCTGTCTCCGCCGCCACGAGCGGGGGTGCCGAGTCCATCTATTTGCTCTCCCGCAACAAGCGGAGATGTAGCGTGAGGCCGCATGATAAGTTGCGTCGGTAGCGCAGTGTCTGGGAGGCATCCGTTACGGAGGGGACAGCGTGTGTTTGGGGGATGGCTGATTCAGGTATATATATTTATAGTGGAATGGTTTTTCTTTATGTATTTCGTGTGCTGGGGAAATTGGGTACAATCAAGAAATATGTAATGTTGTATTCGTGTTTTTTTAGAGCTTCCTGAGCAGTGCACCCAATGGTAGCTGGGGGGGAATCCAAGTGGGGGTGGCTGGGTTGCTGAACAGGTGGGTTGAAGTAGAATCTTTTAGGTTTGTTTTCTGTTTATTGGCAGTTGTTTGTGATTACTTATGTTTTCGTTTTCATTTCTTTTCTAGTTAGTGAGACGCTGCCTTGGTCTTTTGTTTTGCTTTAAATTGTTTGTGATGCCGATCTTGGCGCATGGTCTGTGAACTCCTCCTGCCCGCTAAACCAGCCGTCACTGGTTACTCCACCTAGTTATATTTGTACCAATAAAAGATTTATATTTTCATAACACTGCTTCCTGTGTGCCTTTACGATGTTTTGAACCAGGTCTTTGTGGTAACTGGGTGCTACAATAAAGTTTGACTGATGCACATATTTTAGTCATCAGTGATGTGTGTTCACCTCTGTTGTAGCTGCTCCTTTTCTTCCTTCAGCTTCTTCAGTCGCTCCAACTTTTCAATGTATCTGCAGAAACAAAACAGTCACATTTAAATATATCAAAGTTCATGTGTTTGGTTGTTGTGGTCCCAGAGAAACTGACCTGAGACATGAGGACTGTGAGGACAAAGCTATTTTGGGTTTTTTGTGTAACTGTAGCAGCTAACGTTAGCATTAGCAGCCAACGGTAGCTGCTAACGTTAGCATTAGCAGCCAACGGTAGCTGCTAATGCTAACTAGCCCAAATTGGTCATAAACTACTGTTTTAACGGAGGCTAACGTTAGCTACTAATGCTAACGTTAGCTGCTAATGCTACAAACCTCTGTACCAACCATGAATTGACAACTTAACGTGGAATGTATATGTGAAAAGGAATAATATTAAATATAGTATATTTGTCTTGATAGTTCACTCTTTCATTCGGCATGTCTGTATTACACCTAGCAGCGACTATTTATCCTAAATAACGACCCTTAATCCTGCTTCACCTCGGTGGAGAGTGATGTGAAGAAACTACACCTTTAGGATTTGTTATTAATGTTGCTTTGAATACTGATATCAATGCCGAAGTATAAAGAGAGTCAATATTCTTACACCAACAACATATAAAAGCTAATATGTTGTGTGTGTGTGAACGCAAAGAAATCAAGGTTACTGTAAAATGTCCCAATGTGTCTATGGAGTTCTGCATTACCAGTGACTGAACTTTACCTTTCAGTGTTCCTCCCGTCGAAGGACACGAAGTCCCCGGCCTGGACGCACCGAGCACAGGTCAGCCTGCGGCGGGAGGTGCTGCATAGGGGGCACCGCTCCACCGCCACGTACAGACCCTCTGCGTCGTCCACTGACTCCACCATCATGTGATGGGGGAGAGAGGATGCGGCAGCCATGGACAGCTAGGAGCTAACTGAGCTAACGTGTTAGCGCTCGGTCTGATGTTTGTTAAACAGAGGAGACAACGAACCGCCAGACGTGTTTTTGTTTTCATGAGTCCGCCACTTCCGGTTTCCTCTGGAAAAAAAAAAAAAACGCGTGACAAACGTAGTTTGTTTATGAAATGACGTATGACGTCATGTTGGCTTGTACTCCCCGTCGTATCCACGGAGATGGAACGTGTGACTTCGGGTACATCCCAAGTCTCTTAATTGCATCCCCGTTTCCCTCACTTGGGTCCTTTCCTTGCGTCTTAGTCCCTCCCACCAGGGATGCATGGAGGAAACCATGCGAGGAGAGAGGCCGACTGTGAGCAGTCCACTCATCCTCTTGTGTTGTGGGGACAGGAGTGTGTGCTGGCGTCTGAAGTGAACGGGGACCCGTCCGTGGCTGCAGCGTGCAGCAACGCTGTGGTCAGGCCCGTAGCTGCAGCCGAGCCCCGGCCTTGTCGTGGGAGGTCTCTCGTCGCGCTGACTCGGGGGGCTGAAATCTCCGATGTGTAAGTGTGTGTGTGTGTGTGTGTGTCAGCCTGCTCCTGAAGTCGTGTCAGTCCCACCGTGATAATTTCTTCAGTTTCAGTCAGTGTTTCGGGCGTCAATCTGCGGCCGAAATGTCTCTTAGCCCATTTAGACGCTATTCCAAAGGGGGCTTGCCACTCAGGTGTCTCTAATTTGTACATTTCACCTATTTGTTTTCGAATCACCTGTTCATAGTGGTCACGGAGAATGACAAGTGTCGTGTGTGCCCAGTTTTTGGCGTTGCCCTCAATCAGTTGTGATGTCTGTGTGTTAGGTACTGCCGGTTTAATCAACATGGTTAATTGTTTTGTCATTTTGTCGATTGACACTGGAGTTTTCTCAGTACTCGCATTCGAGAAGTGGTGGAATGCCTTGATTGGTCTGTGTAAGATGTGGCATTTGAGGGCAAAGTCTGGATCATCAGACCTTGGTTTATTATCATCTCGTTCTCTCACTTCAGGTCGATTACGAGTCTTGGTTTGTTGATGGTTCTCCCTCCTCCTATCTTCAGTATTGTTCTCTCGTCTGTGCGCGTCTCTGCGCCTGGGCACCTGTTGCAGCTCCGCGCGTCGTCGGCTCTCCTCTCCATAATTGACGCGGCGAGTTGCGTCTTCCGTAGTCCTCCCGAAAACGGCTCGGAGAATCCCCTCTGCGAACACTGTAACCTCCGCGTGGAGGGTCCGGTCTGTAGTCCGTGCTGGGCTCATTCCTGCGTTTCCGCGATGCACTGTAGCTGTCCGGTCTGTGTCTGCTCACCGTGTCGTGCGTGTGTCTTTCGCGCCGGTGCAGCGATGGCTCTCGTCGGTCCTGACGAGGCTGGTTGCGTCGGGGAGAGACCCGGTCGTGGACGGACAGGCCAGTCCTGGTCACGGAAGCGTAGGTTCTGCGTCCGTGACGGGAGGGAGATGGGCGGCGGTGGGGAGAACTGGGAGCGTCTCGTCGCAGTTCAGGGGTGCCCGCTCTCCGTGCGCTAAGCTGCCGTCTTCGTGTTCTCTCATCAACAGAATCCCCGCGGTGGTTCTGGGATCTGTGCGTGGACGTAGGCCTGATGTACCGCTGCGGTGTCTTCCATGGTGGCCCCTCCTGTTAGTCACCGTGGTCCATTCGTCTCCGTGCTGACGTCCGTGAAAGCTCATGCTAAGCTAGCGCCTCGTGTGTGTTTTGTGGGCCAAGAAAAAGTTTCAGAAGCACTTTTGACTTTTTTAATTTGGCCAAACAGTGAAAAATAAAATAAATGAAAAGAAATAAATGTACAGCAACGTTTCGATTATCTTAAATCTTCTTCAGGCTGATAAAAAATATATAAAACTAACTAATTGTGAAGAGTGTGATGCCGCGAGTCAACTTACTCAACGGACCCGCTGAAAAGAGGAAGACCGGAAGCCAAGGTTGGCTTTACAACAGGTCAGAGGTCACACGTCACTTTACGTGAAGACGTCAAATTACACCTTACTTTACAGTCAGAAGTTATTTACATCCTTATTCATTCTAGAGTAGATGGTAGTTATAAGGTAACATAACATACAACCCAGAAACGTGTAACAAATGAATAAATAGATAAATACACAAACCTTGGAATACAATTTTTTGTGTGGAACAGGTGGTTAGGGTTAGAGGGTTGATTTCGGATAAAAAGTGAAATTTACTGGAAATGGTGGTGTTGAGAAAGTTGGAGTGACTGTTTACGGGAGTTTAAAGAGGGGGAGAAGTTAATGATGGGGATGTAGATGGTGGCGTTTGGGAAAGTGCGGTGAGCCGTTTTCCAGAGTGTTTTTAACTGTTTGCTAATGGTGGTGGGTTCGTGCTCTGAAAGGCAATTGTTCAGGCCTACTGATAAAATAACGTGAAGTGGTTGTGGGTGAGGAGTGAGTTTACTTAAAATTGCATTTATGTGATGGAAGTTTGCACCGGGGTAACTGTCTACTTGAATGTGTGGGTGGGTGAATTTTGGAATGCGGGACAGGTTCGAGTCCCCAATCACCAGGGTCGTCTTCCGCACCTCCAGCGACCAGTCCTGGATTTTGCGTTAAGTGTGGGGGTGCGAGTGTGGTTCCGGGCGTCCTGGAGAGCCAAGTGGGGCCGCGGAGTTGCTGCTGGCGGCAGAAGCGGGCAAATCAGATGGTGGGGGTAAAGTCAGCGTAACGCTTTTAATGTCCCCTATTCTCCTCATGTTTTTATTGCCCGCCTCCGTGACTGCTGTGGTGTTAGCAGACTCCGCGTCAACCCGCTCTGGCTCCCTCTGCTGGTGGGGTGTGTCTATGGAGAAAGAGGAGGAGATAGTGTTACTGCACGGGAGAGCCACATTACTGTAGTGCGTTTGTGGTGGGTGAGTTGCATCCGTGTGTGAGGGGGAGGGGGAGGAAGGCGCAGGGGAGATGACGGGACGCTCCGCCCGACGGGCCCGCAACCGGCCGCTTTCTCTGGGAGGAAGGGGATGAATCTCCACCTCTACTGTAAGCGGCGGGTTGCATTCGAGCAGATGGGTCGTGGGCGGAGCCACCACATCAAAAGCCCCCGCGCCCTCACTGGGGGTACAGAGGTCTCTGTAGGGGGGAAGAAGAGGAAAAGAAGAAGGGGTAAGGGGGGGAGGAGAAGGAGAAGTAGGAGGAGTTTGAATCTTGAGGGCAGGAGTGAGAGAAGTAAGGGATGGAGGAGAAGAAGGAGTGATAAGTAAGGTGGTAGTGAGCGGAGGGGAAATGGGATGGTGAGAGGGGTCCAACTGTTGAAAGAGGAGGGGATTTACTGGGTTAGGGAGTGGGGGGTAGTCAAGGGGGGAGAGTCGAGACATAGGGGCCCCCTCCTCCGTCGGCGGGCTCTTAGATGTGATGTCCCGCAGTGTGTTGATGGAGGAGGAGGTGAGCTTCCTCCCATATCTCGATCTCCCCCACTGGAGCGCCTTGTCAAAGGGAATCTGATTAAAAGTAGGGATGGTCTCCAACCCCACAGCGATCACAGAGTCATAGTGCTCACGGAGGATGTGCATATTGTTTAGCATCCAGGTGTCAGTGTTCTGTTGTACCTTGAGTTGGGTTGTTTCATTGGGTGAGGAGGGCTTGATGAAGGAGGTGAGGCGAGTCACCTTCCTCATCATGCCCTGTGGGAATGTATGGTTGTTGAATGTAGTGTTGAGAATTTCTGAGTGGTGAATGGCCTGCAGTAATTTGAAATATGATTTGGCTTGTAAATAGATATGTGTGGGTAGACTATGTGGGTGTGGAGGTAGACTATGTGGGTGTGGAGGTTGTGTAGTTTTCCCCGTGGGGAGGAGGGGACGAGAGTGATGTAATACATTCCCGCCCCTCACCTCCCCAGGAGGAGAAGCCAGTGCTGAAAAACGGTTATTAAGGGGTATGGGCATGTTGGATCGCTGAGGGTTCGGAGAGTCCATGAAGAAATTGAAAAAGAGTAAAAAAGGAAGGGAGAGGGAGGGGGAGGAAGAAAGGAGTGAAAGTTCAGCTAATACCAGCGTTGGCCACAGGATGGTTTCCTGCAAACCCGAGGCTGGGCCGGGCAATCAGCCCCACCCTTGAGTAAAAAACAATTGTTGGTTAAAAATAACAATAAAACAAAAAGAATTGAATAGACAAGTTAAAAGGAGTAAAAAGAGAAAAAAAAGGGGGGGGGGGGAAAGAGAGAAAGAGGCAATTCCCTATAGAACCTTGTTTGTTGTATAAAAAAGGAGTTTTAAAACAAGGAAATGATTGCAACCAAGTAAAACAAGTTCAACTACCGGACACTTACGTTTAAGGATCAGATTGATGTAATTGATCCTGTTATATTTAAAGCCATACACAGCAGACTGTAATGTTTGAGGATTTAGAAAGTCCAAGGGTCCAAGTTCTGGTGAGTTCTGGTAGGAATCTTCAGTGTGCACACTCTTTTGCTGGTAAAATCCAAGTGACTCACCCTCGGCCTTGTCCTGCTCCAAACCCTGCTGTGGCTTAACAAGGTGCGGCCATCTTGTGGGTTTAAAAATAGTTGGCTAAAAAAGGCAATCGCTGTCCTAGTTTTAAAAGGTATATACTTTAATAATAAAAAGAAAGTTTAAAATCTTGCCATAAAAAAATGTAAAAAAGAGAGAGCGGTCTCCGGTCTCGACGTTTCGCCGTTGAGGCTTCTTCAGGAGAGTAGAGGTGGCCACATGCTCATCAGTGACTGTTAAAAAGAAATGTTGGGGGCTGGACCAAACCCTGT